TGATAAGTTTAAAATTGTACCAGTGCCTAAATGGAGCCTGAACCAAATGACAGTCAATGACATCAAAGAACGTCTTTTTTTATGGCTGTATCGCTAGCTAACTTCAAGGCTAACTTCCTTCACTTTTATCACCAGGTGGTAAACAAGACATGGGAGCATGGCTTTGTTCTTCAGGTGTCACAGCATTTATTCACTGACAAATAGTCTAAACTGTGCACACATTGCACTGCTATGTTTAACTTTATACTCTCTGCTTCGCATGCCGCAGCCTCACTGTCACTGTCACCAGCTGGCGCTCGCCTTAGCTAATGCTCGTGCTTTCTTTCTCTCGCCACTCATACAATCTGGCACCAGAATGAGACACCAAAATCTGCATTTTGATTCGGTACGGTAGGTACTGGTTATATAGAAACGCACCGGGTTTCAGTACCCAGCCTTATTTAAGAGAGCATAGATAACAGCTTCAGTTCCCCATCGAACAGGGCGGTCTGACGGCAGGGTAAAGCTGTAAAAACATTCTCAATATACTGTAGCATAGTCTACACTTAAACTGATATTGATTCTGTTTTTTACATGGGCCTTTTTTTAAATTGCTAACACTTGTTTTGCCGCTACCTTCATCCACAGCAGTATATTCCTTAGCTGTCGGTACTCCTGCCTGCTTCTCCAAACTGGGGGCGTGCTGACAGCCATCAACTGTAGGTAACACATTGACTATGGATAAGTACCTCCTACAACCCTCTTTCAAAAAATCCTAACTTTCCCTTCACTATGAAAATATTGATGAGTGCAGCCCTAAAAATAAATTCATCCAGCAGTGAAATGGAAATTAATTTAAGAGAAAAGTAAATGATAAAAGAACAACAAAGATATATTTCTGTATATATTTGTAAGTGTATGAATGTGTTGGAGGTCTGGTTGGGGGTGGGGTCAGTCTCCAGTATCCATTCTCATAGAGCCAATCTCATTAAAGCCACTCTTCCTCTTAGCTCACCAGTGGGAAACAGATTTGGATATTGCACTCTGCCTCTTCTTTTAAACACTCTGCGTGCAATCTGTTAGGGGGAACAATGGAGCAGACTGATGAGGGAGGGGGAGCATGTATTGACTTTTTCTCACTCCTCTTTCGTCTTAATGCATCTCATTTCCCCCCTCCCATACTCTTTTGTTGAACACCTTTCCTTCCCCATCAACCTTCATCAATCTCTCTATCCTTGCTGGGTGAAAAATGGCACCCATTACTTTTGTCATGTGGTGTACAGAAATAGCATTCTTTCCACTGTCAGGTAAAACAACTTATGGTGAGTCACAAGACTGCAGGACGAAGGCATCAAAGCATAAATCACTCCCAAATATTGTCCAACTTTCATACAGTAAACACAACTAAAGGAAATGGGTGCACATCCCAAATAATGCAGGCTGTGCAAACTGAGCCTCGACACATGGGTGGAGGTTTGTTATCTTCCTTAAACTCTGAAATATTTATCTCACAGGCTGCTGCTGGAGATAACAGTGTGTTTAGTATTTAGCCAGTTAAATAAGGTTTAGACCAATGTTTCTACAGCATCCTGTTTTAGTTTTGACCTCTTTAATTACTTTTTAGGCAACGTCTGTTCTATTCAGTAGAAAATCGTTTAAGGTCACCTCCTTAAATGACTTTCTGATGACTTAAAAAGTTAAAATTGTGGTTTACAGTCACGCAAGCTCCTCTGAGAGGCTGTACTTAGACATAGCGGTTTGTTGAGCTACGAGCTAATGTCAGCATGCTTACAGGCTTACAATGACAATACTTATAAATCTTCTATAATCGTCTTACCTTCTTTAATCTTTTATTCTCTCTTAATTTTCTGCTAAGAGAAAAAAAATAAAAGAAGCCAACTCCGGATGCACCAAATGGTCGCAACCACCCAAATCTGCTTCTACCCCAGTGTTTTGAATGATGAATCCCACTTGATTATAACTAACCTATTACTATAGGTAACGCCCCTCAAACATTATGTGAGGGCAGGTGTAGTGCTGTGTGCAGATAATCTGGCACATGCCAACGACTCGGAGAGATGCCACCGAAAACAGAAGAAAAAGTAGTTTTGCAATAGTAAAACTGACTTAAAGTAAACATGGGATGTGTCAGTACTGGTGTTACAGGAAAAAGAAAAACAGAAAAGGCAAAACATTTGTGATGATGTAAACTCCGTGTCAGTAGCAAAGGTGAAGGAAGTATTCAGATCCTTAACTTAAGTAAAAGTGCCAACACCACAATGTTAAAATACTCTGGTACTTGTAACGGCCCTGCATTAAAAATGTTACAAAGCGCAGCAGTATTTCTTTTGACCACAAATGCAATAACCCAATCATTATAATAACCTCATAATAAAATAAACTTATTTGAATGTATGATATTCATGCTTTTTTTTTAATGTTCCTCCAATTTAAAACTTGTGTTCCCTTGCATTGGGCAACACTTTGCGGACTCTTATCTCAGTAAGAGAGTGCTCTCAACCACTTGTAAAATTTTCTTCTACCTATGAAAAGAGCAAAAAATAAAGCCTCCTACAGACTGTGCACTTGCAAGCTACACTGTGCGACATGGATCAAATAAACTTGTGTATGACATCAATTTTGATGTGTGCAGACTGTACGATGACAACAACACCTGAACCGCAAGCTACAACGTGCGATAAAATAGATTCCCATACTGAGTGTGCAAAGATTCTGCACGGATTATTCCTTAGCCAACTCTGATGCACAACATACAGGGTCACATTAATACATAACTTCAAGTTTTATGGGCACTATATACTGCGGTGTGCCTGTGTGTTTGCTAGCTGCTAGGCTGCTCACTTGGCAGCTGCAATTCTGCTGCTATTTCCTTCCATACTTCGTCCGTCTTTACACAATCACAGTAAGAGCTGGAGGACACGTCATATAGACAAGGCTTCTGCTGCCACAACTCAACAAGGTTTTCCTCTTTGCTGGAATCCCATGTTTCTTTTAGCGTGTTTTGCCTCCATGGCGAGCTGCTATCTGTATGTATGTCTGGGTTTAGCCCCAGTGCATCATTTCATGCTGCATTTCTATTGATTGGTTAGTAGATGTAGGTCGTAACAGCAGTCACACAGTGAGATGGTCATCCGAAATTGCTGACACTGTCAGAATTTTATCCCATGCTGTCTTTGATCACAAGACCGTGACAACAGACATCCTTGAACCTCACTCACTGTGTGATGTGGGACCACCGTTTTAGAGCCACAACCAAAGATATCGCCACTTTTTTTTTCTCGATGGTCATCTTTCGTCTGGGACAGTCCAAAATCGCACAGTGTATACCTGGCTTTAGAAAACACTGGTGAATCCCAAATATCAGTGGGTAAAAACAAACTAAGAACAAATTGTGGATACGAACAAATACGGGAAACTAATTTTGTAAAATGCTTCCTTCACGAGGCCCAGTGTTTCGCACACTGACCATCTTAGTTTAGCATACTAGCATGCTAACATTTGCTAAACACAAAGTACACTTGAGGCTGGGGAATGTCAGTTTTGCAGGTATTCGATCATAAACAAAGCACTAGAAAAATAAAAAATTGAGTAGTACATAAAAGTTCAAGGGCTCACCAAACTCAAACGTTTCAATTCATCCTGTGGGAAACAATAATGTCTAAAACAAAATCCAAGCCAATCCTTCCATAGCTGTCAAGAAATGTTATGCAAATCACCATTTCAGTCAAGTCATTAGGCTCCACCATCTGGGCACCATGGATGTTTGTACCACATTTAATGGCAACACATCCAAAAACAAAAATTGCCAACCTCATTGTGGGGCTAGACAAAACTTCAGGAGATCACCAAAGCAGACATTAAATAAACTCCAGCGTATTCAGAATGCAGCAGCCAGAGTTTTAACAAACACTAAAAGGTCTGACCACATAACTCCTATTTTATCTGCTCCTCACTGGCTGCCAATAAAACAAAGAATTGATTTTAAAATACAATTTATTGTTTTTAAATGTTTTAATAGTTTAGCTTCCTATGTTGCTGACATGCTCACAGAGTACGCACCAGGGAGCTATATAAATAAAATTCACTTGACTTGACCAAAGTCAGTCGTATTCATCCTCTGTGGCCATTAAAGGTCAAAGTACAAAATTTCAGGATAATCTGTTCAATAGTTATGTGAGATATTTCAGTCTGGATCAAAGTGTTGGACCAATCAACTGACAGACTGACATCCCTGGAGCACTAGCGTGGCTACAAATGCTCTGCTTCATCCACTTAAGCATGACAAATGATGGGAACACAAAAGGGTACCTTAAGTAAGAAATACTAACGACCTGTGCATTTTGCACAGCGTGGCATTTTGGTATTAATTACATCAGGTTTCAAATTGCTGTTAAGGAACCTGAAAGGTCTGCAGGCGCTGCATCTCTGACTAATCAATTGCCACCATCCTGCCAGGTACAAAGGTCTCGACCCCGGGGACGTGTTGGATGCTGCTATTACTTCCCTCCTCTTCACGCTGAACAAGATGCTCTGCAGAAGCAGCAACCTTTAATGGCCGCTGGGGGAAGATTTAGAGTGATGGCTATCCATAAAAGCAGTGGCTCATCATTTCAGAAACGACAATATAACATGAAACTATCCAACACAATGGTGGCACTCTGGGTGTGAGGTCTAAACATGAAGCCATTATAAGAGCAGGCTGCACTGCTGCTGCACCTCCAGGAGGAAAATGTTTGGAAAATGTCAGTCTGTATCTGTTGTGTCAGTAAAAATCTGATTTTAAGTACCTGCTGTTTCGTTGTTGTATAACAACACACTTTAGGACAGCGAGTACCCGATGAGCCTCAGTGGAAACGTACAGTGTCCGCAACAGATGTGATTATGAGGATTAGGACCGTCTCTCCCTCTCTCTCCCCTGACCCTCTCAGTCATCCAATGGGAGGAGGGTTAGGGACAGAGCGGAGGGGATTGGCAACAGGTTTCACTGCGCTGGCCAACATACTCCATACTTCAGCTAACAAACAGCTCTTTCTATAAATCTGCACAGAGACTTTAATTCACATGGATACATCTGTCAGACGCTAGCTGTCGCTTTTTCATTTTATATGGTTTAGTTTGTATTTGGTGGATTTACTTGCTTCTTCTCTTGGAAGAATAGCAAAGATGATTAAGACTATGTTTGAACACGCGAAGAAACATCCTGGGGTAGGTTGCATCATATTTATGGATCTATTTTTATGACTAACATCTTACTGTCACATATCGATGTGTCCACAAGGTCTAAAAATAGACATTTGCAAATGGAAAGTTGCACTGATTTCTTTGTTGTGTATGGCTTTTCTGGGATGTTGGTTAGAAAGTTCATATGTGCACTTTATGTGCAGAGTATTTCCAAAAATACTGATTTATTGAGAACAGTTTTAACACTCATTTTCCACATATCAATACATCAATACCAGCTGTGCTACTCGCTCTGTTATTATGAATGTTTCCTACAGTCATTGTGCTGTTCTCTGCCTCTAACTAAGAAAAGACGAGTAAAGTAAAACATTTTAATTTTATGCCCTCAATGTCAATTTTTCTGCTGGTCTCGAAAATAGCAAAAATAACAATATTTTTCAAAGCATTAAATCCAACAGTAGTGCAGAATATATGGACATATGAAGCAGTTTTTCCACTGACTTGAAGTTTGTAATCACTGTACCTAAAAGAGAAGATTTTTTTTTATTTCACATATAGTATTTACATATGGACCAAATCTTCTTTTCAAGCTCCTAAATACACTTTTACAAAAAAGACCTATTTGAGTAGTTTTTCAAGCAAAAGTGGAAGAAATTTGCTGATGTCAGTCTCAAAAATGAGGATTTGCTGCTTTTCTGGAGCTAATGTGATGGAAAATCTCTGTTAAGTGGACCAAACTTTAGTCGACCACAAAGGTCAATTAGATGGCAAGATTTTATTGGTCGCTTAGTCGCAGAAAAAAAAAGGGAAATTCTACGAGGAGCTGCACCTTGTCAAAATAAATCAAAATATATATGACTGGACCATGTGGGAATTTAATTTGAAAGGACATACACAGCAAGTGGCCACGCTCAGCAGTCAGACAGGGGTCACGTTACAAACCAATCACAGCCGACAAATATCTTTCCCTTCTTCTGTAAATATTCAGTCTGATAAACATGAGAAGTTGATCACGACACACTCACATGCATGTCGCGGAGCGGTGAACAAACACAATGTCAGGAGAAATTGAAAAGATATGCCGTCTATGTAAAGTCAACTTGCTAATTAAGGAGCCATTACATGTTCAAGAGTTTTATAAAGCTGCTCAAACGCCAAAGAGAGGCTATAAGTGAACGTTTCAGCGGCGCACATAATGACCGCGGTCATCGTTCATCGGCGATTTCACTAGATGGCGATAGGAGGATCGGATATGAAGAAGATCGCCCAACTCTACCTTAGCCAGCTCCTTTAGGTGAATAAAGACCATGGCATCACTAGTTCACTAGTCAGTGAACCTTTGAGCTCTGAGTCTTTCTTTACAAAGAACATTATATAAGTCTAATTACTGATGTGATCAACTGCATTGATAAGTACTGTGACGGCACGTAATTATTTTGTATCATGGCATGTTAATTCACTTTATTGCTATCGTATTAAAATGAGGCAAGAAAGAAAAAGAAAGACACAGAAACTGTCTGTGCTTGTTTTTTTTCCTGTTGCCTCAGAGCTATGCTGAGGGTGACCCAAATTCATGGATTGACGGGGTTGGCTTGGCAGTGCACCAGAAAAGTAATAAGGGCAGCAACAGTATCGAACCCCAGCGAGTATATAACACTTCCTATATCGGTCAGATTCAATGGTGGAACGTGAAACACTCGCTTGTGTGGCACGATATGAAGATATCAGCACTGGGGAGTGGACAGCTCCCAACACACAGGCCTGTCTTGATTATTCGCTTTGTGTGTGAGTGTGTGTGTGTGTGGGTGTGTGTGTTAGTGTGTGTGTTGTGTGTGATCAAAGCTGACCTGCTTCTATGTGTTTGTGTGTGCGCAGCTGTTTGTGTTTACTTCAATGATCGAAGCTGAGCGTCTGCAGTCAGTGGCACTTGTGTGTGTGTGTGTGTGTGTGTGTGTGTGTTTGCATGTTGGTGTGTGTGTGCAGTAAAAACTTGGTGTGTATGATGAACTTTTCTTCCAGGGTTAACTTGGGGAAGTTGAGAAGTTCACAGTGAAACAACTTGTGGAAGAATTCAGTAAACATTAAACCCATGCTGGGTGAGAACACTGAACAGACACTAAGACAGTACCCCGGTGCTGAAATACAGTTAATCGATTAGTTAACAATTCTGCTTTTTAATTAATCAGTTAAGTCATTAAGTAACAAAAATACCAAACACTTACTGGTGTCAGCATGTCAAATATGAGGCCCTGCCACTTTTATCTTTCTTAAATAACTGTCAGTGCCATTGTTTGGGGGTTTTAGACTGTCGATATGACAAAACAAGGAAGTGACATAAATTTGGCTTCTGAGAAATTGTGACAGGTATATTTCCCTAATTTGTGACAATATAGTGGGAAAAAAAAATTGATTATGCAAAAAGTCAATAAATGAACAAATAACAGATAAACTGATAATGACAGCTATTTATGTTGGTTGAGACGATTAGTCGATTAATTGATTAGTCATTCAAAGGAAAATTAATCTTCGACTACCATGATACTAATTCAATAATGGTTTAAATCATTTCTACACACAGAGACGCCAATTTCACCTTCTCAAAAGTGAGAATATATGATTAACAATTTTTTTGTTAAATTTTGTTTGTTTTTTGTTTTTTTTAAGCAGACATAACAAGTACAACAAAATGAAAGAGTACAAAATAAATAATCACTAGGGTTGGGCACTGTTCACATTTGAAGTGATAACAGTTGTGGTACCAGCAGTGTTGGGGAGCAACTAGTTAAATGTAACATAACTAAATTATAAAACAAATGTTATTGTAATCAGTTACTGAAAAAAATATGTAATTAAATTCCAGTTCCTAATCAAATCTTGGCAATTGCAAAGGGGATAGAGCCAAATGTATTATTTTTTTATTTAAAATTAAAAATCTGTTGCTTTGCATCTTTTCCTCGTGCAGGAATGTCTTCTTTTGGCACAGCCTATTTCCAGAATTTCTTAGCTTTAATGCCCAGTTTAAAACATTTGCTAGAACATTATTCAAAAATTAATCAAATGTAATAAGTTGCAGTACTTTGATGAAATAAAAAAAAACAGTTGCATTACTTATTATATTTTTACAGGGCAACTAGTGATTTTTAACTTATTAAATTTGAAAGTAACCTTCCCGACACTGGGTGCCAGAACCCAACAGAGCCTTTTATTGGTACTTAATTTTCTGTGTAATAACAAATATGTTGCTTGAACAATACGTCATTTTTGAACCAGCTGCAGGGTGACGTAGTGGACTAAAATGTAATTCTGCTCATCTGCTCCTTTCTAATCACATCGCGCTTCTGTCTCTGTTTGTCTGTCTGCTTTTGTGTGTGTGTGTGTGTGTGTGTGTGTGTGTGTGTGTGTGTGTGTGTAGCAGTGATACTGGGCTATTACCAAAATAATAAACAAACAAAACAGACCAGATGCCGGAACTATCACAGCATACTGGCACTACAGTGGTAGCTTTAGCCTCCTGTCAGAATTTGGATCTAACCTCCTAATCTAATCTCTTGAAGCTAAGCGGAGGTCCGTTGACGGCTTCTGAGCTCTGTGGTTGGCTTCCTGGCTGTGGGGCGCTTTGCAGCACCCAGCGTTCTTTTCACCCAGATGTGCACTCTGGTCCCAGCATTTGGTACTGATGTATTTTTCGTGAATCAGTACCTGGTAGTATCAATGCAATTTGGTCTGTACCCTTACCCAACCCTAAATATTACATAAAAAGATAACAGAATATAATGTCAGCATCAGGGTTACAGGGCTATAACATTGTGGAGCATATACAATGTGTTAAGTAAAACAAATAACTTGCAAATAAAAGGGCTGACTATCTGATTATGTGCAGTTTCAAGGGCTTTTAATATGACTAAATTATCTTTTCCATTTGAGACTATATCTATCCTCCTGATTGTTAATCCTAAATGACCACTTTGGATTGATGGCTGGACAAACCTAGCAATTTGAAGATCTCACTTTGGGTTCTAGGAAGTTGTGATATTTTACTGCTTTCTGACATTTAATAGAAAAAATCTAAAACAATTAATTGAGCGAGTAATCCGCAGATTAGTCTGCAATAAAGATAATTGTTGGTTGCAGCCCTATTCAGAGTGTTTACAATCCTGACACTTGGGCTTTCTATTACTTGAATGAAAGACTAAAGCATGAAGAGGATGCTCCAAGTTGGAGTTGTTAAATAGTTGTGTGCTAAGTGGAGAGATACTTCCCTCATCTCTCCACTGCAGCTTTAAGGTAATGAATATCAAAGTTTTATCTTTCTCCTAATCAACAACAAGGCAAGTGGCAACACAATCAGACAGAAGACAGATGTCTAGATGCAGCTGAGTAGAGACATCCTTCAGTTCAACCTGATCAAACTGTCATCTCTCAACAGCTTGACTAGATCTGTGCGGGCTAAGAACAGCTGTTCTACAGTGGTGTGACTCTCTCCCCTTCTCCCTCGGTCTCATACATAGAGTATCACGTAGCAGAGCAGACAGGAAATGTATAGCGGTGTAGTGTTGATGAATAGATGCTGTGTGGTGAGAGGACTGACACGGCTAAGCTTTAGGTGTTTAAGATGACATATCACATTATCCCCCTGTCCCCCTAATGTGCTTTTCTTTTTTAATTCCTGTCATCATCACCGCTCTGCGCCATCAAATAAAGTGCATCTGTGTGTGTGTGGGCGTGCACACATCTGTGCCTGTGTGTTTGAGTGCTCAGGCTGTATGTGTGTAAGCTCATTTGTGTGCCTTATGTGTGCGAGTATATGCATTTGTCTCCCTCTCAGTGTGTGCGGTGTGTGTGTGTGTGTGTGTGTGTGTGTGTGTGTGTGATGCTGTCGCTCAGTCTGACAGGTATAGTGTTGAGGAGGAGAGGCTGGCACACACACAGAGATGCAGCAGCTCTCGTTTCCACCGCGTCCTTGCCCGTTCAACCCGGGCTGACAGTGAGCTGCCTCACACATGGCCTGGGCCTCATGCATATGGAGGAGGGCAGGGAGAGGAAAAACAGGAATAACAACTACCCGTGTACGCGTGTATATGTGTGTGTGTGTGTGAGTGTGTGTATTTCACACAGGTGTATGTTCACGGTACATATCACAGCCAACCACTTGATGGAATATGTTTGTTTACCTTCATATGTCTCGGTGGTCTGGACTGGGACTAATGCTTTCCTGCTCTCCTCTCCTCAGTTAATCCCTCAATTTGTCTTCCTGACTCTGGGCATCACAGGGGCCACCTTCTATCTGATCCGTCTGGCAAGAGGACCTCATGTCACGTAAGATGGTCATCTGTCTAATCTTGTAGCTGCTGCAGTAATCATCCACCTTGTTTTTGATACTGTGAGATTATCATCAGCTGAATCCAAACCCTGAATACATAAAGCTGGGTATCCGATCCTGCCAACAGCGTTGGGTTCCCATAGCCAGTTCCCTTTTGGATCTGGGTCCAGCATGGAAATAAACTCAGACTGGCTGAGCTTAGAGGCAAATAAATCTCACGTATGGTTCTTATTAGCAAAGAGCAAACATTCAGGTAGCAGGATTTTCATTTTTAAAATGACAACCCAAAAGCAAATAATCAGTCGTACCTCGGTACCGACTACATGGCGATCAAGCAGATTTTGTGCCTGATTCCACCTTCCAACAATGGCCAGTAAAGCCCCAGTCTTTTGATGGTTCTAGTAACCATCTTGCTAGAGTTTCCTATGGTGTGTGAGGTATGTTGAAAGTGTTTTTTTACAACCCTCAATCTGCTCTGAATTCCATCCCGGCCGCACGATTTCAAATCACATATATTAAACATGTTCATGTTGACAATTTGACAACCGAGGATCGCCGGCGGTCCCACAGGTTGCAGAGGGTTTTGATGCAATATAAAATAGGATTAAACTCAGAAATTATACACCTCCAAGTCACGCTGCAACATGTATAGTCCATGTTCTCGGCGTCTCCATGATTTCATCCAAATATTTGTCTTTTTTCTTAGTGAATTTCCTGTAAAAAGTAGTGCAAAAACTAACAGCTAGTTCTTTATACCTGTAATCTGACATGTTTGTTTACTCTAAAGTCACGTTTGAATCGTCATAATTAAAAGTTTTGACAGCGAGAGATTCGCAAAATTTCTGGTTTTAAGAGTTAGGACTCTGGTAATCTCTCAAGACAGATTCTGCAATCTACATTGTAGAATCTGTCGGCAGCCCTGTGTGAAAGACGACTGGGGGGGGCTTTGAGTTTGAACATGCTGCACTTTAGCCAATCACAATGGAGGGGGCGTGGCCGAGACATGCAGGTGTCCCCAGGAAATGTGTACCTACAGAAACAGCAAGCTCTGCGTCCATAGCGACCGCTCCAGTAATGCCGTCTCGTCAAAGTGAAAAAAATTTTTTTTTCCAGCGGATGTCTGAGTTACAACATGATTGAGCTAACTGGAGTAGTTTCATGTTGTATCCGACAACAGGAGGCTTTTAACAGATGACGTCCTGATGTTAGCTTTGCTGCTGCTGTTAGCTGTCCCTGTCAGCTGCAGCCACTGATGCTTTCTAGACATTGTGATTTCCCAAAACTGAATAAATACCACACATAGCAACACAAAACTGCTTTGCTAGCTCAATCATGTTGTAACTAAGATATTCGCTGGAAAAAATATTTTATTCACGGACCGTTTATTGAGTTATTACCTTATTTTTATAGTCTATGGTTATAGACAACGCTAACGACTAATGTTAACAGCTAACGGTTAGCCCAGCTAATCTACGATAACCATATTAATTCCGTGCACACAGAAATAGTAACGTTTGTTCAGTAATTGTGTTTATAGACTTAACAAACATCAGATTAGTCTACACGGTGATATAGTGACATGAAAAATGTGATATATAGCTAAACTCTGCTGGTTTTCTACCCGAAGTATTTGTAAACAACACGGCGATTCCCTGGGGGCACCGCCGGAAGTGAAGGGCGTGAGGCCCCTGCACTTCCGGTTAGTCGAAAAACTCCGGGCTGTGCCTCCAGAAGTAAAGGAAGAAAAAAACATTTATTTTTTTTATTTATTTTTTTTTTTTTTAACCGATGGATTTCCAGATTGGGACTCGGGTTATTCGTGAATGAAATCTGTTAGCGTGGGGAGTGCTGTTTTGGCCAAATTGTTGCTCTCCATAAACTGTAAGAACTATCATTACATGTCATTATGTGTGGGGTCCCTATATAAGTTGGAGGGAGCACCTTTCTCTAACACCAATCTACAATTAGAAGTGTATTGTGTGTTTTTATAGTTCAACAAGACCAACAAAATAGTGATTGTCCTTTAGTAAGTCAGTTCCAGGACATAGAATCTCTTAGTTAAACTTAATCATATCATACCAATATTTTAATCTTCTCAGTTAGATAGTTATGAATCTGGACCTCCAGTAACTGGGGCAAGTATGTGAGAGGTAAACTGTGCAAAATGAGGAAGCTACACCTTTAATTTCAAGCTATGCTGCTCATGTCATTGTCTACCAGTTTTAACTACAGGTTGTAAACATTAATCAGATATCACTCAAAACTAGTGTTTTGGGGCCAATGGCCTATTCATTTTTTGACAATTACACTTAATTTAAAACATTTTGATTGGGATTTCTTAAGTTTGGTTGCAAAAGTCTTGTGGGTGCCTTCAGTTTTCAGGGCACATCCACCCAGTAGGAGGCCCCGGGGTAGAACCAGAACACGCAGGAGGGATTATATGTGTCATGTGGCCTGGGAGCTGGTACCTTGCTCAACCTGCTGCCGCCGCGAATGGGCCCCGGATAAGGGGATGAAAATAGATGGTTGGTTGGTTGGTTGGTTGGATGGATGGATGGATGGATGGATGGATGGATGGATGGATGGATGGACGGACTTGTGATCAAGACATAGGTCTATAGCGTACTGAACAGGACATTTTATAGTTAAAAAATAAGCTTATTGTTCGATGATGCACAGGCAGAATCCGCTTTTGCCTCTAAAACCTCCCGTCTACAACAAGCTTGAGATGCACCCTCGTTGAGGACTTGGCTCAGATTCCGGAGTTACCATCTTATCCTGACGCCTCCTTAAGAAATCTGATCCCATTTGATTCGGCGGTGGGAACCTCTTGCGCCCGCATGTCTTTGCTGACTTAGACCCCAGCAGGATTTCGAACCCTGGACCTTCCACATGGGAGACGAGTGTTCTAACCACTACACTAGCACAGGCTATGTACTCAAAAACCATCGGCATTTCTGTGCAGCATTTTGTCTAACAGTACTTACTGGCAAACACACAGTATCTGATTAATATATCTGTGATTATTTCTGCCCCCTGATTCAAATGTTGGGACCCTCTACAAATGTTGAAATTGAAACCTCACTGGATTTCAATAGGGGATTTAAAAAATATTTGGACTCAATAAGCAGATACTGGACTCAGATTTGTTTGCCATCAAACCCAGACTCTAATGCTATCTACTGAATTTGATACTAGAATCCAGACAAGCTTTTTTGATCGCTATATATGTTGAATTAAAGTTCATAACAAACGAAGTCTGCTGTATTAAACTGTGACATCTCAGCAGCTGCACTGAACATCAGTGGCTGCACACATACAGTATATGTGCCCTGTTCGTGTCCTATTTTGGGCCACACAGAACCACTTGTTCTGAGGGTCAGCCATAAAGCCTGACCTCATCACCAGCTGATGATGAGTGCTGCGGTCTGTGGCTGCCTCTCTCTCTCAGAGACTGTCTAGTGTTTGTGGTAATGGAGAGCGAGGGGGAGACATGCCCGCACTGCCATCAGCCTCTCCCGGTCTCTTTGTTTGTGCTTTGGTGGCGTGACGTGCTGCCAGATGGGGGAGGAGGCATGGACAGTCGCAGTGGAGCGCTGTGCAATCCAGACTTTGGTTAATGAACAGAGGAGCACTGCCAAGTCACTGGGCTGAGTTCACCTCATCTCATAATCACCTCTCCCTTTTTTTCCAACTTGTGTCTCCATCCAGCATCTATGTATTTATCTCCTTTTGTCTCCTTCTGTTCCTCTGTCTTAGTTTTCCTCCTATTTGTTTCTCTTCTCAAAGTCTTCTTTTTTTCTGCATCTGCTCTTTACTTTGCTCTTTGCCTCCATCACACATGCCTTTCTCATCCTCATGTCCTGTCTTTTCTCTTTCTTCTTCCTCTCTTTATTCTGCATGCCCTGAATTTAACAACATTTCCAGCCTGTGGAATAAAAAGAACAACCCAGAGCCCTGGAACAAGCTTGACCCAACCTACCAGTACAAGGTAACTATATGCTACCCCACAGAGTTGGGTTGATTTATGTTTTTGCCAGTGTGGTCCAGTGTACAAACTTAAACCAGTTTGATTTAATGCAAACAGGCTGAACTGACGTTTGTTACGGTGCTAAATCCAACTTGTATTGCATTAGTAATAAGCAGTATGACAATGTGATTATCATATTAGTGAGTTTATAAACAGACTAACGAAGCCACGAGTGTCTGACAGGCTGTGAGCCGAGGCCGGCAACATGAAGGAGATCAAATTTCAGTAGAAATGGGAGTGGGGAGGAGCTGCACACATTGTGTTTGTTTACTAGAAAGTTCATGTGTTTTTTGGGATGACGAGAGGAGACATGGCAAAGTTAGTCTCCCAGGAAAACTAAAAATGCGCCAATATAACAACATTTTGGATCTGAAGCTGACAAAAGATGTGTCCAGAGTGGCTGCAAGTGACGCAGTGCACGGGTTTGAGCTAAACTTTTATCGGACAACCTGTATCTATTGGTTGAGCTGAGGAATTATCTTAACGATACCATCTTATCACACTACAAAGACCCAAATAAGGTGGAGGCTGGCTGGAGGGAGATCCCCAGAGAGCTTAAAATTTCCAGTAAGCTAAGTCAGTGGTTCCCAACTGGTCCAGCCACAGGGTCCAGATTTCTCTTTAGTCATAAGTTCAAGGTCCACACAGTTTAACACATTCAGCGTCATACTTGGGGTTGGCCATGTTGTCAAGAACCTGTCCATTACTCTTCACTCTACAGCCACAAACAACACTTCAAAATAAAAGCTCTGTGCCAGAAATTCACTGTACTTAAAAGTAAAGTGTTTTTTTTTTTAACAAACTTGAGACATTTTTCTGTCACGTGCGGTCCATTCACAATAGACCGCGATCCACCAGTTGGAAACCACTGAGCTAAATGACCATCACTAACAACAACATTGTTGCTGTCCGTTATATTGTGAGTCATTTCCAGTCAATATCATAATATATTACAGGTGTTTTCTGTTTAAAAAGTAAAGTTACAAAAGGTAGGAAGACAGCAAGTAGAGTTTACGTCTCCAGTCTGATCTCGAGCACACAGCTGATATTTACATGGTTTGTTCAGATGAAGTAACAGAATTGCATATTTCATGGATTCAGTGTGAACCGAGAGCTCTGATGTCACGCAACGCAGCGTGATAGTCAGCCAGTTGTTTGCTGCTGGGACACTCACTATGTTCCACTCTGGAGCAGCTGTAGAGTCAAGTGCGACACCTGAAATAATTTGGTACCACGGTCCGGTGTTTGGCTTATTATCAAACTGGTTTGAAAATTCTTACACTGGCCCAACCCTGCTTCCCAATCACACACTGAACGACCACACGCCTGCTCACACCAATCATATCTGCCAGAAAATTAAGCTAGACAAGCACGACACTGTTTCCTTGAGTCACTGTAAATCTCCTATAAACCTACCAAAATAGATCTGGACCAACCAATGCTGGCAAAACGATGTCAGATCAACATGGCTGCTTCCTGGCTTTCTTCACATTTTGTTCAATCAAAGGAAAACAAAGTGTCTTTCAAAAACAAATTAAGGCAGATGGAGCCTGGAGCTTTTAGTGGTCGGTAATAATTTGCCTTACCTCTTGAACAAGGCCAGGGCCTCAGACAAACTAATGAAAATATTATTATCAACGCTGACCCAAAATAGAGCAGAAAAACAACCAACTGACAAGTCCCAGAAGAGGAGATCTGGCTGATGTGTTTTTCAGAGAAAAGAGCGTTTTTCTGAGCATTTCAAGGCTTCGCTGCTTGCCAGTGGAATGAAAGTCGCTGCAGACAAAAGGTCAGGACACGGCATGTTTAATTCTCGATAGCAAGGCAAAGGTCTCGCATCGAAATTCCACTGAAGTCCAAACAATGATCGTAATGAGGAGGGGGGAATGGGGAAGAGCGGAGGGAGGAAGGAGGCAAGGGTTTTAATGGCAGACCAATCAAGAAAAATACACGGGGAGGAAATAATCACTGCCAGGGCAAAAGAAAAAAGTGTGTTTTTCATGGTTGGACGGTTGAGATGTATGCAGAACACATGCATGCAGTCACACAATATTTATATTACCCATGACTTATGCAAACTGTTGTCCTAAAAGTCTCTGCAAGATGAAAACCCAGGAAATAAATGAGCCAGTAGCATCATGGTAAATACACTGAGTGTGTTTGGGTGAGTGTACGTCTATATTTGCTCTCGAGGGGAAAAAAAATGTTCACCCTGCCTCTCTTGTTCCCCCCCCATGCATTCTCCTAAAGATGGCACTGATGAATTTAATTTAAGCAAAACAGATTTAAATGTATTCCCTCTGCCTTACACAGTTTGTGGCCATCAACACAGACTACAAGAACCTGAAGAAAGAGGGCCCTGACTTCTAAAGGTCCTCCAGGCAACTCCAGGGGCACCGAGTTTGGCAGGACCTCCCGCTGTCACCTCAGTGATGTGAAACGTCTTCCTGAACGTTTCCTCAGATTCACCTCACGACAACAGCTCCGAATTAACACTGTAACCCTGAGAACAAATACTATTAAAGATTACATGAGGAAGAAGCCGGTTCTTCAGTGCATGATTAATGTGGTTGCATGCTACTACAGTATACAGATGAGTTCACCAGAAAATATTTCACTATGTGTGGACAGTGGAGATGAAAGTTAATCTTGAACTTTTTTAGGCCACAGTAATAATTTTGAATATCTGTGTTAATAATTTCTGTTAGTTCTCTTTCTTGTGTGAAACCCTCAGCTGAGAGGTCAAAAGTCAGAGTCTGATGCCAAAAAGCCAAATGGCAAGTTTTAAACTGTTAGTGAATCACAGTCTTTTTTCAAAGCTGCACTAATCAAACTTTTGGCAATGGATCAAATGTCTACATTTATGTGAAAGGGGTTGCTCGTAATGACAAACCTCCACCCAGTGCACGGCTATTGTTCAGTGTTCTTTTACCAAGACAAACATAAACAGCAACCAGCAGCTTGCATTGTGTGTATGCAGTGCAATTTGTGCTGAATTGCAGGACTTGTAGGTCAGTGGACTTTCTAACTCAATGTGACCCAGAAAAGGAAAAGCGGTGGGTGACACTATGTTCCTAACGACTAATTTTTCTGAAGTTTAAACAGAAACTTGAACTTAGACAACTCAACTTGTCTAAAAGTAAGAAAACACTCAGGAAACAGTCAAAATTGAGGACAATTTAATCTATAAGGTGTACAAAAACATTGTGTATTTGAAATCATTTATCACATAATAAATGAAATGCTGCTGAAATGTGTGGTATTTCACATTGTGCATTATAAAGATTGCACATTATCCTACAAAACATGTGAATAACTCATAATAAATAATAATAATAAAAGTTAAGAAATAACATTTAATCCTTAGGAAAATAAATCCTTAGGAAACGTGCCTGATTATTAAAATGTCATTGTCATTGGGTGACAATTATTATTTCAAATTATTATTTTTTAAGAATACATTTAACTGACAACGAATGAGCGCAGCAACATTTAATCAACTGGTCAGCTAATCATGCTCATCTCCAGGTGCCTATTTATGCCTGGAAACAGCCATCATGGAGGTGAAGCTCCTGGACCAACTGGTGGTACTCCCTGTGATCCACCCTGTTTATTAGGGTCTCATGTACCCACACAGATCTCTGTTTCTCTTTGACCAACAAACTATGTGCTGACAGCCTCTCACCCTCAACCAGAGTTACAGCAAGTACCCTCTGCCTCAACATTTTAGGAACTAGATACTGATTAGTGTCACATAAATAAAATAAATAAACAGTACATTGATTACACGGTAATGTAAGGAGGTGATGGGGTGGTTGCCTGGCAACAACAAAAAGATGCAGCAGGTGTTTTTTTTACTAGTGGCATTCAGTAAAAAAAAAAAAAAAAAAAAAAAAGGGCAGCCTGCAAACGCATCCTGTGTGATCAGGGCCTTAAGTCAGCCAGTGCAGTGTATTTCCGGGATCCGACCACTCACAAGCAGCTAATTAAAACCAAACGTATCAGAGGAAGAACACTTAAACAAACAACAGAATATTAATAAGTAACTAAAATGACAGAAACCATCTTTGGGAAAAAAATCTATTTGAAGTGCAACTAACACGGAGGGGCGGGGTTTATGAGAGACACTGCAGTCAGCCACCAGGGGGCAATCAAGATATTATGGCTTGACTTTTAGGTAGCTGTCATGATGTCCATCTTCACATACAAGCTATGGTTAAGAACAATCTCCCTGCTCACTACACCACCCTCCTGCTACCCTAATAAAAGGATGTGACATTGCTACGCATACCATGAACTGACAGAATTTGTGGTTGACTGTGAACTCACACATGTGCTACAAAAAAAAAAATCTTGCTCTTAATTTCCAGGGGAAAAACAGAATTTACTGAACTCATCACATCACAAAACCAGCACTGCTGGGACAAGGAAGTCACATATGCACACATGCTGAGATATGAAGTTGCAGATGAAGAGGACCAAAATAGAAATCAATCATGAAAGACGAGCATCCGTGTGGGTCATAGAGCTCTTTTAAACCAGTTCTCAGTCTCCCAGAAAGATGCGGTCCAACGAGACAAATCACTGAACTGTTTGATCACCGCTCCTCTGCAAGAAACCAAAACATTATTTTCACTTTAGGTATGAAGCAGGAAAATGATAGACTCTGAATCAGTAGTTTCTCCAAATATGCCTCCCGCTGGCATAACTCTCCCTTGTTGGAGGGTTCATTGAATGATGAATGTTTGTGTCTCTGTGCGCCTATATACGTATATGTGTGTGTGTGTGTGTTCTCACTCAGTATCGCTGGACAGCAGACAACATAAAACCCCTCTCTAATGGCACACAAAGTGTCTCAATGCCAGACCCCTGGGTTCTCCTAATACACTCCTTAATAGACAATCTATGTTCCAGACCCTGCATGGGCCCATTTATGTGTCTGTGTGTGCGTCTGCTCCTTTTAAACAGCAATATGCTTCCTGCAACAGTGTGCTGACCTGCCCAGTGGGTATTGTCTGTTGCTGGGTGGTGATTTGTGTGTGTGTATGGGTGTTTGTGTCAGATGCACAAAACCTGCTGACAGGTAATCAGCTAGGCCAAAGCATCACACTGGGGCATAATCACAAGGTCACACACACATACATACACACGCAGAGGGGGGACAGTTATTATCCAACTTGAGCTGCTTCACAGGTCGTTGCGTTCGCATTGCCTCAGTGTGTTAGTATCAGTATAAAACTTAAAGGCCCAAGAGGGTAACACACACCTCCACCGGCCATCAAACAATTTAAAAATTAGGAGGAATATGGTGCGATTTTATGTCTTATGTTTAATCTTTTTATGCCATTCACGTTCTCTCTGTTTATTTTCCAACACTTCAAATGCAGCTGCTTTGACCCGAACACACCGTCCCTTCTCAAATTTCTGTTCCCAGATTTTCTTTACCAAATAACATGTTTTGCTTTCCTGCCTTTTTAGTCATTTTCCCAACTCATTCTACCAATAAAATGGGACTAAAGAGGTAAATTACTACATTCATATGGCTTCAACAGATAGCGTCTGTGTCAACAAACCCACGCAGTCCTTTTCCAAAACAGCAAACATTAAAGCAGACATGCAATCCCTATCAGGCCTCAGTAGGAAACAAAGTATGGCAGTGTGTGATTAAGATCTCAGTCTTACAAACACAGGTTGTGTTTGTCATTTTTCTGCGTCAGGAGTTGAAGTGAGAGCACTTTCTCAGATAACTTGAGCGCTTGTCAGAGAGAGGCGAGGAGGCAGGAGCGAGATTGAGAGAGACTATTTCCTCCTCGATTACATTCTCTCCAACGAGCAAGAGTAGATATTTTTAGATGAGGATTAATTTTAATGGGTGAGATAAGAAGTGAGTCGTTGGTGGAGGAGGGACGGATAAATAAGTAAATAGGACATGCCGCAAAACAGGAGGCAGCGGTGGCAGCGGTGGGGTAGTGTGGCTGTTGTTGCGAGGCCCTGGGCAGATCCACTGATCCAGTGGAGATAGCGAGGCCTTTCATCCTTTAATGTTTTCTCCCAGAGGTGGAACGTCAAAATCAAAGAGCTCACCAGTGTTTGTCCACAACTCCAAATGGAGCGACCTTTTGTGAAGGAGGGGTTATTGGGTTAGATTTCCTCCATCATTTCTGACAAAGTATTTAAAGAAGACAAGGTCCATCGCTCAGCATGGTGATGACAGATGAACAAACAAATAAATTTAATGCTATTTATTTAATGCTAACTGCAGAACAAAGCAACAAAAGTAAAACTAAAACACACCTTGGTGTAGCATGTTTCAGGGTTTAAAAAGCTCTAATTTGATGAGCATGATCTTTTTATTTAATTTATCTGACCTTCTAAATATATAGGTCATACACTACAACAAATACATATACTGAAAATGCAGAGGATAACGCAAGAAAGGTAAGAGATAACTTATTGCCACTATGGTCCTTTTTCTAAGTTATCCTGTAACATCACACAGGCTTACATCCTTCCATATACAGCTACAGAGCAAGATAAGACAAAAAAAGCATTAAAGTCTTATCGCGGCTAGGTCTTGTAATCTGAAAGTAAAATCAAAAGTTTAAGTTCAACGTTTTTACTTTAATTACATTAAATAAGGTGCATTTTACTGCAGTGTTCTTTCCTGGTTCAACTGACAAGAATTATTGTATTATGCATGTATCTATTCTTATTTATTGTGGTGTATGGCTTACTTTTAGGTATGCGACAGAAGAGTCAGTGGTAAACAACGGTGAGGAGTTATTCAGTTCTGATATGTAATTTAGCAATTAAAGGATGAGTGCTCCATCCATTATCAACTGCTTATCCAAAGGGTCATGGGGGCAACAGGCTGAGCAAAAAATTCCAGACGTCCTTCTCCCCAGCAACGCTTCCCAGCTCCTCCTGGGGGACCCTGAGGTGTTCCCAGGCCAGATGTGATATGTAATCCCTCCAGTGTGTTCTGGGTCTCTCTTGGGGCCTCCTACCAGTGGGACGTGCCCAGAACACCTCTAACGGGAGGCGCCCAGGAGGCACCCTGATCAGATGCCCGGGCCACTTCAACTGACCCCTTTCGACATGAAGGAGCAGCGGCTCTACTCCTAGATCCCTCTGGATGACCGAGCTCCTTACCTTACCTCGAAGGCTGAGCCCAGCCACCATTCAGGGGAAACTCTTAATTCTTTCGGTCATTACCCAGAGCTCATAACCAGAGGTGAGGGTTGGGACAGCTTTGTCTTCTTGCTTAGCTGTCTCTTCACCACAACAGTCCAGCACAGGGCCTGCGCCAAACCACCGACCCATCTCACACTCCTTTCTATCCTCACTCATTAACAAGACCCTGAGATACTTGAACTCTCTTGCTTGGGGCTCTCCCAAGGTATGATTACGGATGATTTTATTTATACAAGCAGATTCTTATAAAAGTATTCTGTCAACAGGGCAGAGCAATGACTTGATATCTGGTGTTTCACAGCCAGTTGATGCTGTCCCATTGCAGAAGTTTGGAAAAAAGATATTTT